GCACTTAGTGCCATGGTGTAGTAATCACGGTACAGTTTGGATCTTGGAGGTCTTTTCCAACCCGGTTGATTCTATGATTCTATGAATTATTAGTGAAGGATCTTGGAACTAAACAGAATATATGACACCGTATAAATCAGTATTGCTGCTTTACCTTGAGCACCAGGTGCTGCCCTGGTCTCACTAGTATGAAACTGGGACTGTAAAATGAAAGCTATGATCCTGTCATGAAAGGGTCTCTGAGCAAGGAACCATGAAGTAGACTAAGACACTTCAGCTTACAAAAAATAGGACTTATGTGGGAAGGAATATCTATCTCAGAAGGACAGAAAGCTGAGTGCCGTGTCCACTGCTTATAGCCTGGATCACATAGGGCCCTGAAGAACACCAAATTAAACTAGCAGAAAGGAAGTTACATTGCACCATGGATAGCAAAAAGTTGAAACCAGTTCAAAAAACAGAACCAGGAGTTGATGAATGAAAGATCTGTTAAGGATTTCCAAACACAAAGGTTCCCAATACCTTACTCAGGATGTCCCTGATCAGCAGATTACCACTGTGACTCCCAGATAGTATCTGCAGAAGGTTAATACATCCTTTTGCTTTTCACTGCTTAATTACCCATGGAAAAGAATACTGGACTGGATGGATTGTACCTTAACATGTTGGTCTTAGCTTGGTGACAAAACAATCAGCAGATGTGACACTGCTACAGGATGTTTCAGCCAAGAACCAAAAAATAGGTTTCATGCAGAGTGAACTCCTTCATGCCCACCTCCCACAGTGGCATCACCAAAAAGAGTCTGTGCAGACTACTGTGCAGACTAAAAACTTCATACTGGCTGAGTCACAAGATTCAAACCTGTCTTCTCTTCAAGTGAGGTGGTCACCCTCACTGCAAGAGCTCAGGTGGCCTCAGTGCTGGCATGCTACAGGCATCCCAAAAGGCTGGATCTTGCAACCAAAGGGCTTCCAAGAGTCAGCATGGGGAGGGAGTTTTCTGTCAATAGACAGAAATCCTGTATCCCTTAGCTGAAAAACAGTTACTCTGATAGGCATGTTGGCATTTGGAATGGAATATATGGGCATATGGTTTATGGTGAACAGGGCAGTGCTGGGTTAATGGTTAGTCTCGATGATCTCGGAGGTCTTTTACAATCTTAATGATTCTGTAATTTAACTTGCTGGGAAAAGTAAGTAGAAAATACCTTATAATGAAAAAAAGATGATGAAAAGACAATTTTTAGCAGCAGATAACAATATCTCACAGTTAAAATGACTTGACTTAATGCAATTGCCCCAGCAGACATAAAACTTGTTTTGTGTGAGAAAGAAAAATAGTTTTTACAGTATTTTCTCAGCTAAACAGGTGGGATAGCAGGGAAAGATGGATATTTCTGATTTAGTTCACCCCTCTGGTAGAAATAAGTCACACAGCTGTATGTGTTGTACCAGAAGGGACATAGAATTGGGAATGGGTATTTCTGCAGTGCTTATTCCAGGGAAGAACAGACTGAGAAATGTGTGAACCCAAAAGCAGATGGGCAGCTACACAAATGCCCCAGCTGAATCTAACAGCAGGGCTCAGAGGCTTAGCTCTCAAGACTGAACCAGAAGAAGAAAATACATCAATACAATTCTCTGCCCAAGCTCCCAACAAAGCTTTCTGTCCATTTTTGAGGAAACTCAACCGCTGAAAACATTTCTGAATTCTCTCTGCTGCTCAGTAAGCCCAGGCTGGACTGTTTAAACAGATGGTGCTGTTTCATGATAAATAGATGGTATCTCCAGTGCAGAGAGATGATTTTAAGGAAGGCAAGGTACTATCATAAGCTTGAAAAGGATAACAAAAACTCCTCCCACCCTGCCCCAAACCTGCTTTCCAGAAGGCTGGATACAAATTTCCCCAAATCAGGCAGAAACAGTCCACACATCAGCTATAATACCCATACAGCTACTAAATATTTGGCACTGTGAGTGTTATAACTGTTACTTACTTGCTAATCTAAGGACAAATATGTCACTTAACATTTTATTTCAGGGAATCCTCATTAATCACCTTTCTTATCTAAAGAAATGCTCATTGTTCAATATGTTCTTTTACCCACTCCCTCCCTAAATCTGTTTCAGAAATTCATGTCAAACTTGAAACATGCTTTAAAATACTGAGCTCTTTTTCTTTCCTCCCGGAAAATAAACACATGCTAAAAGATAAGCTCTACAGAACAAAGCAATGCACACAATGAGAGGGAAGATGAGAGATATCAGTTTTAAAGCTTTCACAGCACTATTGTAACTAGCAGCTTTAGAATTTAAGAGAGATGAGATGTTATCTCCAACCATTTTGAGCTGCTTATTGATCTAGAAATTGTGAACCACGTGTATCTATCTGGGCATACTGATTAGTGACAGGGCTGTTCAACCAATATCTGCAAGGCAAGAGAAGTGACAGTGATTGCTAACACACTATTCCATGGATGGGCAGAGGTTTTACCAAGCCTTCAACTTGCCTCACATCTTGCTAGGGCATGCTCCAGACAGGAACAATGTGAAATCTCATCCAAAGGTTCATCCCCCAGTTCTTTCCAACTTTTAAAGGTCCTTGCTATGGTATTTCTGACTGAGTACCTATATTGTGTTTAGAGCATAACTTCTCTGTTGCAACCAGCAAGCAGTTTACTCACAGCACACAGTTTGCAAGGTTTGGAGAACTGCAAAATCACATCACTACTGGAACCGACTTAGTTACCGGCACGGCCTTCTCCATTAGATACTTGCCACTAAGTAAAGGTCTGTTGAGTGTATAAAGAGGTGGTAGATCTTCTATCTCTGCTATCCTCTGGTATACGGCTCTGGATAGATGATCCCCATGATATAAACTCCCCAAGATGATGCTAGAGAAGTAAATTGGCTCCACAAAGAGGCTAAGTAAGGCTCCTTGAATACCCAATACGTTCCACCTAAGAGGGAGGGAAAAACAAAACAAAAAAAAACAAAAACACACTTTCTTTTTAATGGAACAAGTAACATCTGCCAGACATAATAGTAGTCAATCACAACGGACCAGACTTCCAACCCTTCCTCCTGACCATGGTACATGACCATGGTACATGACCTGTGACCCCTGCCAGAATTTCAGAGATCTGCTTAGGGGATGCTCAACGCAATCCTGAGCAAGATTGTCTACAGCAACAGGTCAGGAGCAGATTCCATAACTTTACTTCCCTGCTACCATGTCTGGTGATGCATTTTCCAGCATCCTAATGCCAGAGACAGACAGGATCATTCAATGGGAGAAAGCCAAACTGTGAGGTTCTCAGTCAGAAACAGAAGCTGATGCCTCCAAAAGCCATGTGGCAGTGGGTGAAGCATTCACAAGAAGGAATGTGTCTCTAAGAGTCCAGCACCTCATCACCATAAGGAAAAGCCTGTCCTTGACAACCTAGCCCAATTGTCCACATCCTGCTGCCAGAAAGGACATCTGCAGTGGCTTGCAATATCCATGGGCATGGAGAAAACAGAATCAGAAGACTGAAAATATGCAAAGAATGCATATACTCTTTGCTTAGCTGCTTCACAGATTCCAACCATAAATCCCTGTCTGCACCACTGTCATCTACACTGGATCAGATCTGGTAGCAGGGATATACCATGGCTGGGAGAAAATTTCTGGGGTTTTTGTTTGTTTAGTTGGTTTGGTTTGGTTTTAAGAGGGTTGTTTTTTTGGTTGGTTGGTTGGTGTTGCCTTTTTATTTCCTAGCTGTGTTCATTTGATGAAATTTTGGCTCTCAATCTGTCCGTAACAGTCACACACACACTACTTTTGAAAAGCTCAACATCTCCTGCAGAGTATTTTCACTGTCTTTGTCTGGGGAATACTTGCAAAAAGCTTGGCACTATGAAAATACCCCACTTCAGTCACAGAATCATAGAATCACAGAAATTGTTTGGGTTGGAATGGACCTTAAAAGCTCATCTTGTTCCACCCCCTGCCCTGGGTAGGGACATCTTCCACTAGACCAGGTTGTTCAGAGCCCTGTCCAGCCCAGCCTTGGAATCCAACTGCAACAACCAGACACAAGCAGCAGCAAAGTTTCCTTTGGTGCTTGGATAAAACAGAGGAGCACAGTGGAAACTCTCGTGCTCCCACAGAATGGCTGTCTTTATTAAAAAGCCCATCCTACACAAGGCTTCCCTAGGAAATTGGAATTTGGATGTGGCTAACAGTGTTTCTTGCAGCTTGTGCTGGGATGGCATAGCTACACAACAGCATCAGTTCAGGCTAAAAACTACACACCACAGCTGGACTACACACGCTAACCTCATGACTTGCAAAATGCTTTTTTTTTCATGGCTTCTTTTTTAGGGTAAAACTAAGATTGCAATGCAAGGAAACAATTTCTTTGCATGTCTTTACAGAGAATGAAAATGGAAGCAATGTGCATTAACTTACTCACCTGTCATTAAAAAAGCTGGCCCTAATGAATGAGTAAAAATATATTGCTAATAAAAAATAAGGTGAATTTCACATGGAATAAAGACTTATTTTGGATAACACTGAAAAAGCAATTAGCACTCAAATGTCAGAGTAAAGATATCAAGTGAAAATTCTTGCCTCCCAGGACTAAGATGCCTTTCTAAGGACCTTATCACAATTAGAAGTTAATAGCACAGAGGTATTTCAAGTGCCACATGAATCACTAGAGTATTTTCTTGTTACTTACATTATTACCTGCATTGAGCACAGGGACTGCTACGGACACAGGTAACATTATGCAAGAAACACCTGGAAAGAATTTAAGATTGAGCACTGAACAATGGGGTCTTAAAAATGTGTCTGAGCCTTGCAGACACACAAACCAAGCTGTCTTCAGCAAGGCACATCACATGTGAGTTTACGTGACCAGTGCTTGAGTGACAGATGGACATGTTGAAGAATGCCAAAGACCTCCTCTGGCAAGGCCTAGCTCCCTAAATAAAATCTTTGCCAGACCCATTTCCTTGCTTCTGTCTTCAGTTTTTCCAGAGCTTCTTGCTGCTTCCTCCCACACTTGGTGACCTTCTCCCACACAGAAAATAGAAGCTGACATTTGTCTTGAAAACTTCTGATTAAAAGGAGGAGTGTGGACACCTGAACAAGCTTTTGCAAGGTGAATTGTATGAGCTCATGTTACTGCCCACAGCCCTTCTGTTTTGCTGGGTTCAGAGCAACTGGTTTGCTGCAAGGACAGGTTTGCAGAAATCATTCATACAGCCAAAGCCTCAAGCTCTTAATACTGATTAGGCAGGACTGGATGGTGGTTAGGTTTATAAAACTATCTTTAAATTAAAATTATTTTAATAAAAGTACATATACTTATCTACAATTGTTATTATAAAAGTAGTTATGCTTATCTACAGGAACATATTCTGATCGTAGAATCATAGAACTTAGGGGTTGGAATGGACCTCACAGATCATCATCATACCCAACCTCCTGCCATGGGCAGGGACACCTCCTCACTAGATCAGGTTGCTCAAGGCTTCATCCAGCCTGGCCTTGAACACCACCAGGGCTGGGGCAGCCACCACGTCCCTGGGCAACCTGTGCCAGTGTCTCACCACCCTCACAGGAAAAAACATTTTTCCTCACATCCAACCTAGACTTTTCATCCTTCAGTTTCAACCCATTAGCCCTTGTCCTGTCACTGCAGTTCCTAACACAGAGTCCTTGTGGGCCCTCCAGATATTGAAAAGTTGCTCTGAGGTCTCCACACAACCTTCTCTTCTCCAGGCTGAACAGCCTCAACTCCCTCAGCCTGTCCTCATAGGGGAGATGCTCCAGTCCTCTTAGCAACATGGAATTGCTCCAACAGTTCCATGTCCTTCTAATGTTGAGGACACCAGAACTGTATTCCAGGTGGGGTCTCACAAGAGCAAAGTAGAGGGGAAGAATCACCTCTTTTGACCTGCTGCCCACACTCCTTTGGATGCAGCCCAGGATTGGATTGGCTTTCTGGGCTGAGCTCACACTGCATGTGACCCCACCTGCTACATGGGGAGCTTCTCATTCACTGTCACTCCCAGGTCTTTCTCCTCACTGCTGGTTTCAATTCCTTCCTCACACAACCTGTAGCTGTGCCTGGGATTGCCATGGGCCAGATGTAGGACCTTGCACTTCAGTTTGTTAAACTCCATGAGGTTTGCATTGTTCCACACCTCTCAATAACTGTCTGATATCAAACACTGGTTGTAGACACACATGAAACATAAATCAATCACAGAATCATTAAGGCTGGAAAAGCCCTCTGAGATCATCATGTCAAACCACTAACCCAGTACCACCATGTTCACCACCAAACCATGTCCCCAGGTGCCATATCACATGCCTTATAAGCCAGGGAACCTTTAGAACCAGACAGTCACGAGGGACAGTGACTCCATCATTGCCCTGAGCAGCCTGTGCCAATGCCTGACCACTCTTTTGGTGAAGAAATTTTTCCCCAATATCCAATCTAAATCTCTCCTTGCACAACTTGAGGCCATTTCCTCTGGTCCTGTCTCTTTTCACCTGGGAAAAGAGACCAACCCTCACCTAGCTATGACCTCCTTTCAGGTAGCTGTAGGGAGTGAGAAGGTTCCCTTTGAGACTCCTTTCTCCAGGCTGAGCTCGTCCAGCTCCCTCAGCCTCTCCTGATAGGACTTGTGCTCACGTTCTGCAGATTGTAGCAGAGTAAAAAGGAAGGATTGCATGGACACTTTCTTGCTGTTCCTTCTTTATTGTTGTGCTTCTTTCTGTCAAATAGTAATATCTCATTTCCCTTAGCATGTATACTGGAACAACCTCTGTGGATATAAACACAGAAGAAACTACTACTGATAACTTATCTCAAGCTGCTGAGCTGGCACAGCTGGCCAGGACACACTGACTGACAGGCTATCACTTTACACTATAAAAGCTCAGTTCCACTTTTTAACAGCAGAGACTTCCAACACACTCCTTCTTGGAGTGTGTGTGGAGATTCCTCCCTTGAGTGGGTCACTCCTCAAGGCTGAATGAAAGAGATTTGCCCATGGTTGTTGGTAAGGGTAACATCAATCTCTACATAATAACTGGTTTTGCTCTATTATAGCTGCCTTAATATTGCTTCAATAAATAGTGCACTATACAAGCAGTTACAGCTACCTCCACCGTGTAGTAAATAATTCTGATTAAGGTCTTTTAGTCTAATCATTACCTTAATCAATTTAAATACGTCATTTATTCATACCACTGTATTTGGTTTGCCATCCTTAATCCTGTGGGGCAAAGTCATATAAAGGTTCAGTCACACCTATACAATCCTTTAGGCACACACTGCTGACCAAGCTCAGACCTAAGACTGGATCCAGCTGCACCCAGGCTCTGAGGAGTTTAGGAAGCAAGGGGGTCCTTTCCCTGCACCTCCTGACTCAACAGGAGGGTCTCCCTGCTAAGCCTTATGCAGGTATGGAGGAAGTGAGTCACTATGTGTGACCCACAATTGTGTGACCCACAATTGTGTCCACATGGAGCTGTGTCAAAATTAAGAGTCTCCTGCAACTACCCTAACAAGGCAGACTGCAAAACTTGACAAAATCAAGTGTTTACAGCTTGAAGAGCTGCTCTTATCAATATTTATAAACAGTGATAACTAGGAAGAAATGATAATTATTTTGTAGGCATTCTGTTCATCACAAGCATTTACTTGCAACAGATGGCAAGGGAGAGAAGGTGTCACTGCGTAAGATGTCAGACTGCCCCAGAAAACATTTTGCCTCCTCACACACATGAGGCACGACTTTAAACCCAGTTTCTCTTTGTTTCCTTAAGAGATTAACTGAATCCCTATGACCACTCCATGCTCTTCATGAGCCACAGCATGAACAGGCAGCAACATCTTTATTTGGATTCATAGCTTCTCTTACATCAAGTGGCTGGGTCAGCAGGCCACTCTATAGATCAGGACATGCAAGAAGTCCATGGTCTGTGACAGTAAGTCCTTCTCAGAAACATCTTTTTAGATTTATAGCAAGAAAAAGTATTTCCCCTTGCAGTTCCTTCCAGTACCTAGGCAGCAACCACAGAGCTCTGACTTGTCCCAGCTGTTCTGGCATTGCCTGGATTTGCTGCCTATCTGTGAGCCTGGGGCAAGATACGAGAGGTTACATGAGCTTGGAGAGTTGTTTCTTACCACTTTCTCCTCAGGTATTTTATTTAAGTGCCACACAGTCACCTCATATCGAAGTGGCCACTGCAATTCACATCAGCCACTGTCACTGGAGTTAAGAACTGGTGAGGAGAACCAGTCTCTTTTGGGGAAAAAAAAAGAAAGATTGAGGTACAAACTTCCACTTGCATTTCCCACTCTGATTAAGCACAGGACAAGGCCAGTGGATGGGCATGTGATGCGATTCCACACAAAAGATCAGCAGCAAAATATTTTCCCTTCTTTAAAGTAGAAGTGCATGAATTACCTCCCTTTTAACAACTCAATCTAATGTTAAAGTCCTTCTCAATTCCTACAGCTTTCCTACCAGAGAAACTGGGTGTAAAGGAATTTTGCTCTTCTCAGCAAGACATCAGCCATAAGTGGAATGTTTCATGAGATGTTAATTATTTTAAACAAAAAAAATGGGCAGAAAACCACACCAAAGCAAGAAAGACAAAAATCAACATCATGAAGTAGCATAGAACAAGGTCAGGATACCTTTCAAACAAATGCATGTATATTAATCTTACTCTGGTCACAGAAACCACCCTAACAGCATCCTGCAGAGCCACCAAGCACTGACACACCAGGATAATCCTGGTTTTAACATTTCCAACCCAAATGGGATAACACTTGTGGCCTTTCCAGGGTTCTCACAACTTTTCCTGGATGTTCCTACCAGGTCCAAGAGGGTGCTGAGCAGCACACTGCAGCAAATTGCTCAGAGGCTGGAAACAGCAATTTGGACTATACAGAGAATCAAGAGAGATGAGGCAGTTGGACTTTGATCCAAGTGCAATCCTGTGTCCTGAATTTATCCACATCTTTTCCACATTGTGACTGTGAACCTTTGGGGAAGGTCAGTGGGAATTGGCAGGGCTGAGGCACACTCGAGGACTGATTGCTGAACACTAACAGAGCAAGGCAATCTTTCAAATGTAAATGGACAAAACACAGTCATAAGTGTCAGGGAAATGTCAAAAAAACCCCAAAAACAAAATAAAAAAAAGAAAAAAGCAAAGGAAAAAAGGAATATGAAAATGTGGGCCTCCTTACCCGTCATACAGTCTTTGTTCTGTGTCAGGGGGTTCTATTTGCTTCCTTCACTGGCACAAACAAAATTATTCCCATTAGCCCCAAGGAGAGGTGACAGCTAGCTACGGAAGCGAGAGATGGATTCTGTTCTGCATCACATAAAATCAACAAAAGAGTCAAATGTGTTCTAGCTCAACAAGTGGCTTCATTTGTTTCATATTTGCAATGACAATGTGATAAAAGCAGTCAAATGAATGTGGCACAAATCCCATGTCAGGTGCTTGGGAGAAGTCCCTGGCATTAAACTGGGGAATTTACTTGGTGAATTTAATTGAAAATAGTGTAAAAGAAGCTGAAATGTCATTTTTGTAGAGTTATCTTTTCACATCCCTCTGTCCTACCTTCTGGAAGGTCCTATGCACTTATGCTAGAGGGATTTAAACTACCATAACATGTTTTCCTTCAGTAGAGTTGTTGATTCTCTGAGACAAAACTAAAGGAACAAAACCATGACATTACTTTCCTCCTCTTTTTGACTTGGCATATGCAGCTTACAAGAACCGTTTCAACTTAATACCCTTAGTAAATTTTAGGCTGTTGTGAGGAAACAGCAGAGCTATTTGAATTATAATATATATCATATACATAACAGAATATCATTAAAAATAACTAAAACATCATTAGCTGAAAAGCTTTGCATTTCTCATCTACTTTGCAAGAGCACAGAGGCCACAAACACACAGACTCGTTAAAAAAAAATGTTGCCACTGGAAACTACTGGTAAAAATTTCTTTGTTCATTTATGATTTTGAACAAAAAAAAAAAAGTCTTTCAATCTTTGTCAGAAAGGATCACAAATAAGTAATAAGATAAAACATCACTTAAAGCACTGGATCTGGAAACAAAATATTTAAGTACAATAAAAAGTGCCCATTGATGGAGATTTTTTTAACAGGGACCCTTTTCACAGGACAAAATCGTAAAAATCTAATCTATGTATGGAAAATCTAGGTGTCTTTGATATCACAGGTTGGTTTGGCTTGGAAGGAACCTCAAAGCTAATCTTGATCCAACCCCCTGCCACAGGCAGGGACACCTTCCACTAGACCAGGTTGCTCCAAGCCCCATCCAACCTGAATTTGAATGTTTCCAATGATGGGGCAAAGATGTGTCCTATCAGAGGAAGTTATCCAAATATAAATGATGTCATATATCTATTGTACTGTTTTGCTAATGCTATACTAAAATCTAAACCATTCCTCTGCTATTCCCCAGTGATACAAATACAAAACAAGCTGTTGTGACCTGATGTGGCTGGAATGATAGTTATTTCACCTTGCCCCTGAAGCCAGCAGAAGGTCTGGCACCAATTGCAGGTGTCAGACCTTTATCATAGGAGGTAAAGCCACCCTCATACTACATCTAAGCAGTGAGATAAGTTCATCACTACCCTGCATGCTCACTGTGGGCATCATGCACTACTCCTTTTCTTGTTAGAATCACACTATAATTTGGGTTGAAGGGACCTTAAAGTTCATCTTGTTCCAACACCCTGCCATGGGCAGCAACACCTTCCACTAGACCAGGTTGCTTTAAGCCCCATCCAACCTGGCCTTGAACACTTCCAGGGATGGGGCAACCACAGCTTCTCTGGGCAACCAGCACCTTATCAACCTCACAGGGAAAAATTTCTTCCCAACATCCAATCTAACCCTGCCTTGCTTCAGCTTGTCCTATGCTGTTGTTCAGCAATAAAATCAAAAGCAACGAAAACAATCATACAGTGTCTCACCTTGCTATCTTGTCACTGCAGGACATGGTCAGCAGCCTTTCTCCTTGCAATACTCCATCCCACGTCTGGATAGTGGTAGTGGAGCGCACAGGGATGGTCCCTTCCCCAGACTCTATTTTTGTCCGTAGCTGTCCTCTGGCTTTGCGGTTTGGATGCCTATCCCCTTGATCTGAAGGACAAAAATCGCTGAGAATCAGCTGAGGAACATTCTAAAAAGGTTTTACAAAGAGAATTACAGTAAGAATTGATCTGAGGTATTTGCCTGCAGTTACTGCTGGTTTGCATCACAGTTCCTACTGCTCTCGGCAGATTAGTTACAGCAGACATCTCTCACAAACACTTGTGCCTTCTAAAACACACTTGCACCTGAACCAGGATTTCCCCAGAGGAGCAGTAGGCAGCAATTCAGCTCTGTTCCGTGTGTTACAGTGTTAGAATGAAGTTAATGGGCAGACTAAGGAACAGGCAGGCAGAGAACTGCTGTTAAAGGATGACACAGGGAAACGGGGACAGTTAGTTCTGTAGGAATACTTGCTGACTCACTGGCTTATCTCAGTTAGCATCAGCCTCTTCAAGACCACAGGGTTCATCACTCTATACTGAACTTCTATCATAGAGGAAGAACAGCTCAGATTTTTTGGGAAGAGGTCTTTGTCTAACACACTTTTTGCTAAAAGGAAAGAAGACACCTAAATTTTAACCATGACGCTTGTACATGCTCCAAGAATACTTTAAGCTCCCTTGGGTAGAACAAGACTGCTGTCATACCCTCTTGTGCTGCTTCGTGGGGTGAGAAAATCCGAGCATCACCACAAGGAGATGTGCTGATATAGAGATGGAACTGCACATTCTCCTTCAACTTAAACCCTCCTTGCTCCGATCGGATAAAAATGGATTTTTGCTGATCATCTTTATTGCTGAAACAGAGAAGAAAGCTGGAGTCAAAACCGACCTTAACATAGAGATAGCCACAAGTGGGGCAGTCTTAACAGGCATCAAAACCAAACACAGGAAGAAATTTTATAATATCAATCTAACAGTTAATAGAGTTAACAAAATTAAAGAACCATCAAGATAAGAAACAGAACCTGTGACATCCCCAGAGGTCATAGAATTTAATCACAGAATTTAAGGGTTGGAAAGAACCTTACAGATCATCTAGTCCCACCCCACTGCCATGGGCAGGGACACCTCCTCACTACATCAGGTTGCTTAAGTCCTCGTCCAGCCTGGACTTGAACACTGCCAGGGTCAGGGCAGCCACCATGTCCCTAGAAAACTAGTTCCAATGTCTCACCACTCTCACAGAGAAAAGCTTTTTTCTCACATCCAACCTAGACTTTCCATCCTTCAGTTTCAACCCATTACCCCTTGTCCAATCATTGCCGCTCCTAACACAGAGTCCCTCTCCAGCTCCTTGTAGGCCCTCCAGATATTGAAAAGTTGCTCTAAGGTCTCCACACAGTCTTCTCTTCTCCAGGCTGAACAGCCCCAACTCCCTCAGCCTGTCTTCGTTGGGGTGGTGCTCCAGTCCTCTTAGCAAGGTCAAGAGCTTTAAGGCACTTACCAGCAAATGAAACACCAGCACCTTTTAGCCCACTTGATATTACTTTGATTTGTATGTTTACAGCTTACAAAATAAGTCCCCATTATTTTTCCTGTACTCCCCTCTCATGATTGACACCTCACTGAATAAATCTTTTGTTCAAGTCAAACTTGAGGGCAAAGGGCCTGAGTTCTAAATTCAGCATCCTAATGCAACAGGACAAGTGTTTCACTAAATAATGAAGACAGATGGGTTACACAGACACCTTTTCAGCTCTGTGGGATTGGCTCATCTTCCTTTTCCCTGCAGCTTACCTTAGGTAAAGCTCAAGTTGTGTATATAGAAACTTCAGCAGGCACCGGCGAGCTATAATTTCTGCATGGCAATCATTTAACGCCAGACCACGATCACTCATGTATTCACCATTGATGCATTTGGTTCCTGTAGAAACACTTATTACCAGGGCATCTTTCACGTCTGTACCTGCAAAACAAAATGTCAGGAAGAAGATGCAATTAGCACCACAGTGTAGTGAGCGATCTTCTTGCAGAACCCAAACAAGGCTCTTTTTTGAGTTGTTTGCTTCTCGAAAAAAATACTGGGTTTTTTCTTCTGGTACTTCCTTTCAAGCAAAACCTCCATTCAGCCATACTGTCCCTGTAACAGTATGGTCCGTGGTTCTTGTGAGCTTTTTGTGTTGGTGTTCAGACAAACTAAAAACTGAAAACCTGCAGGGAAGAAGTGTTGCTTCAGGAAGAGTTATTAAAGACTGAGATCCAAAGTGCTTTTTGTCCTGAGGTCCAAGACAGCCAACAACTTCCAGCAGGTCTCTTCTGGCCACCTATGCAGATATTCACAGTGACTTCAGAAATGCAAAAGGCACTGGTTTATTAATGCAGCAACACTTTATCGAAGGGTATTGAACCAATAAGAGAAAAGACACGGGAACAAAGAATTTGCAATGCTTAAATCACTGTGAAGATTACCAGTGCTATAATTTGTAGCTTTTGGTATAAAACCATCCCATATTGTATCTCTGTACAGAGAGCTGCCTTCATCACTCAAATAAACTCAGCTGCATGAAGGATTCAGAAAGACAGGTCAAAATGTCACCTCGCAAAACATTCAGGGGGAAAAAAATCTCAACAAGTCAAAAAAATGAACCCCCAGTTGCAGCCTCCTGCCACAGGGCTGGAGGAGACTTAAGGATCTTCTATGAATTGCAGTTACAAGGCAGTAATTAGAGTAAAACCTGTTAAATATCACAGAAGATATTAAATAATACTACACCTCACAGAGCTTTGTATCTGGGGCTAAAACAGTGTCTGTAGCAGGTGGATGTTTTGGTTGTTGCTGAGCAGTGACTGAGGAGCATCAAGGACTTCCAAACCAGGTCAGGGGCACTGTGCTGAGGAGGGGCAAGAGACCAGGAAGGGACACAGCTGGGACAGCCTCATGAGAAGCCCAAAATGAATGTGCTACAAGGGTTCAGATGGATTGAAGACATGCAGCTGAAAATTCAGCTGCAGGGTGGCCATAGATGAGTTCAGGGCAGAACTTCACTGTTCTGGGTGATTGGGCTGAACAAAGATCTCATGTCAGCACCTAGAGAACCATGACACCACTGCCACCTGCCAAAACATACACGGCTTTCTTCAGGTGTGTTTACTCAAGTGACAGACACAAAACACTAAGAATAAAATACAGCAAAAATAACAAAGTGCAGAACCATAAAAACTTGGAAAGAAGCATAATTCTTACAGAATATGCCCAATCCAAAGCCAACCACGTAACTGATGTGGGGAAACTTTGGTATTTTCCACAAGCTTTCAAAAGCTACTTTTTGTAGACCATAAGTTACCTCAGATGTCTCAGTCAGGCAGGAACTCTGTGGAAACAGAAGTATTTACAGTATTTCCTGTAAGTATCTTTAGCTGAGATTTAATTGCTATATTTAGTTCACCTTCAAGATGAAACAGCAAACTTTGCCCCTTCAGCGACTGCCAATAAAATACCTATTATCAGGGTGCAATTGTTTCTTTCAGGAAGGGGAAATCAGGGCATGTAGATGGTGTCACACCACTTTCACATACAGAAACCTTCTGTCCAGGACTAATGTGAGATCCTTAGCTGACAGTCAAGCTTTTGACCTGGACCTGTGTTTTGCTGAGAGCTCAACACTTTGCGAAGCAGGACAGAAACCAATGTTTTGGAAATCTGTGTGTTTACCTAGAATAAACAGTGAAATTCTTTTTATCCTCTAAGTAGTGTAGAAGAGTAAGAGGCTACACTGCCACATCTCTTCATAATGCAAAGCAGGGATGCTGTGGATTTCCCACAACTGGGAAGACATCCAACTGTAATATTAATATGGGGTGGATCACAGGGCTGAAAGTATATCTCAATACTGGTTGACTGAAAAAAGGTAGTTTACTAGGATGCATACCACTTTTTAAAAATTTACCTGTTGTCATGACAATTCCAGCCAGGACTTTTCGACGTGCATGCGGAGAGGTGAAATTTTCTGTCAAATCACTGAATTTATCTACAACCAAGCGTGCAACAGCATCAGCCAAAACCTGCAGGATCACACAGAAACGCAAGTTAGGAACATTTAAAAGGGAATTTAAAAACTACAGTTGCATTAGGTTTTAAATATTTACGCAATTACATGACTTGACAAAATAAATGAAGAGCTTTTATTGTTCACTTTAAAAACTGACGTTGAGGCGTTACTTGCGGCTCTCTAAGGGGAAGCAGAGGTGCACTCCACATCTATTCAAACAGGGTCAGACAGCCCTAAGCCAAGCATCAAAGTACGTAATGCTCATGATCATCATGAGCATTTGAGGCTTAGGAGAAGTGGATAGACAGATAAGTCTATACTCTCGTGCTCAAACCTCAAAACGCATCATTTCAGTATCCTCAACATTGGAGCTGACAAGAAGATTGAAGTGAAAAATCCAGGCCCATCAAACCAACCTTTTATAACCACCTAAACCTTTATCTAGATATTACATAAATGACTTTGTTTTCAATACTGGTTTAACACTTTCTATTTCTTATTTTTACAAGACATATACAAAGATAGAAATAGAAAATGTCAATGCATAACCTCAAAAGCTATCTAAAATTAGGAAGGCTTTTGCTCTTTCACCTTCAGGAGAACTTGAACAGTCACAGTCAGCCTTGTCAGTCAGGCTGTAAGGGGGGCTAACTTCTAAAATGAAGGAAAACTCCAAAATACCAGTCCTGTTCCTGTCCAACAACAGTTCAGGTCAACACTGCAGCCAATCTCACCTGCTGTTTCTAAGGCAGCTGGAACTGTTACAGTTAGAAAACATGAGTCAAGAGCAAGCTCTTGAATTTTCACCTGAAAAGAAACTGAAGCCCAGATAACCATGTGTTGACAACTAGCAGTGTCTGAGATGTTCTGGGGTACACTCCTGGCCCACAGGTTCACACACCAGAAGGACACAGGTCGTGTGTCATACCTGCCAGTGATGCTGAGCGAGGAACAGGTTGCCCAGAGAAGCTGTGGCTGGCCCATCCCTCGAAGTGTTCAAGACCAGGCTGGATGGGGCCCTGAGCAACCTGGTAGTGGAAGGTGTCCCTGCCAATGGCAATGGCTTGGAACGAGATGAGCTTCCAGCTTCTCTTCCAGCCCAAACCACCCTGTGATTCTATGACACAGATGTCTTAGATACCCAAGAACATCCACTGTGGTGTTAAACATGCCATGGAAGAAAATGCATCAAACCCAAAGGATGTTTGTCAGTGAGTGTCTTCTGCTTGCACACTGTTTTTTGGGCTCTCAGGAATGGAACATCATCACCACCATCACGCCTTCAGAGAGTCCCAGGCAAATCAGTATGGCAGCAGTATACAGAGACTGGGAGCATTCACTTGAAAGGGTACAAACCCTTGAATACAATCAAAAACAGACTGCTAGGGAGAAAAGATAAAAAAATAAGATAGGAGAAGGTTTGAAGACTGCCAGCCCTATTCACCCCCATCTCCTTAACAAGGCTCATGAGAACCGACAGCCTAGAAATAACATGGTGGAGCTCTCAATGTTAACTTCCTTCTGAAAAAGCTTTAGCAGCCAAGGAAGAAATAACTAAAGCCCATGTGTCATGATTCCAGAGCTCGACAGCTTTTCCCAGGGTCTGACAGGAGGCAGTGACCAGCAGTCAGGTCACATCTCCACCAGCCTTGGTCCATGTTTTGCAATCACACAGCTTGTGAAGTCAGAAGACTCTTGACAAGGCACACACCAATTTTCTTGATGCATTTGAATGGACTGCAATCAGAACTCTTACTAAATTTTTCAGGAACATGATTTTGCTCTGAGGCTATGAACATGTCTTTCAAACATGGTCTTTTGTGTTGATGGACCAAAAACTGGGTTACAGTCCATGCTCTGGCAGCACCACAACCACACAGCATTTAATTGTGCCAGTATTTACCTAATGAAGAAAGCTGAATTGTACGGTAAATACACAAAATAAAAGGCAAGTAATGAAGGGTGTTTATCACCCTGGTCTTAGAAATGGAAAATTAGTACACAAAAGGCTTAAAAAATCAACTTCCCTGCATCCACTCAGGCAGATCACTGTGGGACCAAGGCAAGGAGTCCCCATTCCAGTGTTTTATCCATAGCGTCACTGCCTAATTATGGATGCTGCTTCCCAGCTGCAGGTTTTATGCTCTCATTTCTGCAATCCATCTATTTTCTGCTCTACCTTCTGCCGTGATGTGCTGGACAGAACACAGCTAGCAACTGACACAGTGCCAGGCAACAGCAAAATCATGCTAAATGACACTGTGATGGGAAACTAACTGGTTCAAATAGGGATGAACCCGATCCATAAGAATACATGCAGCAGGGCCCTTCCAACTCAAGCTATCCTATGATTCCATGCTTCAGAGAGGCTTCAAACCTGCCAGAAAGGCAGGTAATAAACAATGCAATACACCTTTTCTCCAAGAAAGAAGTGAGTGTGATGACTGGTAACTGGGGGAGTTGTCCCCAATGCTGGGAACTGAAACTGCCTGGTGTTTCTGGGAAGAAACCCATAACCACATTACTTGCTAATACTGCTGACAGAAGGCTACCTGAACAGCAGCTGGGTAGGATGCTTGCAGACAGGGTGGACACATTAGCTTTTTCCTAAAGGATTCTTTTCTTGCACATAAGAAGCAAAGCAGAGGAAACTCTGGTGTTGGTATAAAAGTGAGAGTATGATGAGTCCCTCTGGGAAGATGGAAGCTGGTGCAGCAGGATGGGAAGGAGCTGCATCTCATACAGCCTGGAACTAAGCTGCTGGCAAAGAAACCTAAAAAAGCCTGGATGAACAATGGAGCCAGACACTGGAGAGAGTTAATAAGAAAGACTAAGCAGAACTCAAGTGAGACAAAATGACCACTAGAGATGGAAATAATTCAGGAGGAACTGGAGGGGAAGAAGGTGGAAATCATTGCCAGAAGACAGGCAGATACATTAAAGATTTTTTATTTCTACTTGTTAGTCAAGTTGTGTTAAAACATCTTTGTTGGCAACATGGACAGTGGGACTGAGCGCACCTTCAGCAAGTTCGCTGACTGCACGAAGCTCTGTGGGGCAGTCACAGCTGGAGGGAAGGGATGGGACATCAGAGGGACCCTGACAGGCTTGAGAGGTGGAACAATGCAAACCTCATGAAGTTCAATTAAGGGAAGTGCAAGGTCCTACATCTGGGCCATGGCAATCCCAGGATGGGTGGGGAAGTAACTGAAACTAGCAGTGAGGAGAAAGATTTGACAGTGACAGTGGATGAGAAGCTCCTCATGAGCTGCAGTGTGAGCTCAGCCCAGAAAGCCAATCCAATCCTGGGCTGCACCCAAAGGAGTGTGGGCAGCAGGTCAAAAGAAGTGATTCTTCCCCTCTACTCTGCTCTTGTGAGACCCCACCTGGAATGCTGCACACAGTTCTGGTGTCCTCAACATAAGAAGGACATGGAACTGTTGGAGTAAGTCCAGAGGAGGCCACAAAGTTGCTAAGAGGACTGGAGCATCTCCCCTATGAGGACAGGCTGAGGAGGCTGGGTCTGTTCAGCCTGGAGAAGGGAAAACTGCGTGGACACCTCAGAGCAACTTTTCACTATCTGAAGGGGCTACAGGAGAGCTGGAGAGGGACTCTTTGTTAGGAACTGCAGTGATAGGACAAGGGGTAATGGGTTCAAACTGAAGGAGGGAAAGTCTATGTTGGATGTGAGGAGAAAGTTTTTTACTGATGAGACACTGGCATAGGTCAACCAGGGACATGGTGGCTGCCCCACCCTGGTGGTGTTCAAGGCCAGGCTGGATGAGGCCTTGAGCAATCTGATCTAGTGGGAGGCGTCCCTGCCCATGGCAGGGAGTTGGGACTAGATGATCTGTAAGGTCCATTCCAACCCTTAAATTCTATGATTCTATGACAACAGGTGAGCGGGGAGGAATAAACACTACTAAATGTCCACAGACAGAGTCATGAAGGTTGTGGTCTTATGTAGCAATACTCACTGCAAGGAATTAAAGAATACCTTGCCTGTCTCAAACAGTGTTAAGGCCACAAAAGGGACTTGCCGTAAGTTAAGACACACTAGCCACCACGGCCGTAACTTGAGATAAGCACAAAAGGGATGAGTCTGTGCCAATTCCATCCAGGCTTGGCGGAGGTGAGATCCGCTTAGCACACCCTGATTAATGTGTCTGGTCAAAAATTCCCAGTGTGGCAAACTTCATACACAGACCACTGGTCAAAGATCTCACATGTACTGTCAAATAAAACCCATATTATTAAATCATTATGTTAGCAATGTATTACTGACTTTGGCATGTGGTCTTGCTTGCACCTTAATTCTCTCACTAATGGGATGGCTACCCTCAGCAAATAAATTAGAATTCACCTTTTCTTCCAGGAAGTTTATTACATTAACATAGTTAACAGCTCAGAAGACATGGGAATAAGCCAAGTGAGGAGCAGACCACTGCAGCACTAGGAACAAGACCTACTGGCCAAAAATTATGTCCTTGTCATCCCCATCTCAAACCCAAAGACTTGATGCTTTTTCTACAAGCCCAGGCCACTGACCGGCCTGGGTAGGGACCTTTCACATCTCATCCTGCCTCTACTCCCTCTCATGTAAATAAATACTGAACTCATGTCTCACCTTCCCCCTGAATGCCCTAACATCTGACACACAGTTTCTCTGTCCCTGCATTAAATCACTATTCAAAGATGGGAAATTCAAAAAAGGTAAGTCCTAAAACAGCTGACAGTTGTCTTGGAAAGGCATGTGAGTTCAGAGCTATTTTGTAACTCTTACAAAGTTACAGTGAATCCACTCCTTTTCTACAGGTACTGACTGGTTTGGTCAATACATATATATATATCTTGCAGCAGAACCACCCTGACCATCTATATTTGAAAATATTCTTAAGCTGATGAAGTTCAGGTCTGTCTGGAGCTGAAGGAAGACCTTGGCAGGGTGTGGAGACCACCCAAGCTGAATGCTATTGATCACCTGTGCAGTGGAATTAAAGGCAGCAGCATCAG